AGTAGACAAAGATTTAAAAATCAATTAGTTAAAAATCAATTAGTTAATATCAAGAGAGTAGATGATAGGCTCCTATTAAAATTAAACTTGTATTAGGAAAAGAGATAATTCATGTAATTAGCGCTTATACACCACAAGAGAATATGATTCGCCTAACCACATGAAATGTAGGAACGCTTACAGTTAAGTGTATGGAGTTAGAGGATACAATGAGACAAAGGAGAATATACATAGCTTGCCTATAGGAAACTAAGTGGAAAGGAGAAAAAACTAAAGAAATAGATGGGTATAAACTTTGGTACAAAAGAAAGGATAATAATAAAAATGGTGTAGGCATAATAGTTGACAAATATTTTTAAAACAAAGTAGTAAATATCAAGAAGGTACGTGATAGGCTCTTATTAATTAAACTTGTATTAGGGGAAGAGATAATTAATATAATTAGTACTTATGCACCACATGTAGGACCAGAGGATAAAATTACGGGACAATTTTGGGAGGACATGGATGAACTAGTGCAAGACAGACAAAATGGAGAGAAGACCTTTTTAGGAGAGGACTTAAATGGACATGTAGGGAAGGATGCTAGAGGATAAAAAAGGGTACATGGGGGATATGGGTTAGGTGAAAGAAATGAGATGGGTGAGGCTATTCTAGATTGGCTATGGCCTATGACCTAGCAATAGTAAACACTAAATTTAAAAACCAAGATGAACATTTAATAATCTAAAAAAGTGGATCATATAAAAGCTAGATAGACTTCTTCCTAGTTAACAAAGATAGATCGACCATCATGTCAAGACTGTAAGGTTATCCTATGAGAGAGTTTGACTACCCAACATAGACTCGTGGTTATGGATGTCTACATAAAGACAAGGAAGAGAAGGGGTGAAATTAATAGGTATCTAAGAACTTAGTGATGGAATTAGTTTAAGAATTAGAAAATAGAATTATTCAAGGATAAACCAGTTAAAGATACAAAATTAAACTCTGAACAAGAGGTCAATGTTATGTGGAATGAGATGGTTGACTGTATTAAGAAAGTGGCCAAAGAAATTTTAGGAGAAACTAGAGGGAAATGAACTTCCGATAAGGAAACTTAGTGGTGGAGTGCTAAGGTTAAGAAGGTCATTAGTGAAAAACAATCATGTTATAAAACTTGGGAATGTAATAAATATAATCAAAACTATAAAGAATATAAATAGGCTAAAAAAAAAGCTAAACAAAGAGTAAAGTTCAACATAAGGCATGATAATTTGTACAGTAAACTGGAAACAAGAAAAGGTAAAATGGTTGTCTTCAAATTAGCAAAAATGAGATGAGAAAAAGTGTAGGGATTTAAACCAGGAACAAGTTTATATAAGTGTGAGGCTCTAAACAATCAAATAAGAGCTCACCTCAAAAATTTTACTTGAAGAGGTTGTTTTGATGCCCGAAGATCCTCAAATCGATCATCTTGACTTCAAGATGCATGACGAGAAAAAAAAGGATTTAAAGTGTCGAAAATAGTGCATCTTGTAATGCATTTTTGGACTGTCAATTTTCTAGATTTTCAAGTCTTCAACTGAAAAAGCTGTCATTTACGCCATTGGAACGTCAACTCCACTTGGCCTTCGTAACTTGACTCCACTAGTCCTTTAGAACGTTGATTCCACAGGAATTCGAATCAAGTCCTACCAATACCTAGAACCTCGCGGCTTTAAAAAGATAGGTAGCTCACTCTCGAGGGATCAGGTCGAACTTCCAATAAGGCTTTTCATAGATCTGCTCGATCTACACTATTTTTTAAGCTTTAAGTTTTATAATTAGAGATCAAAATATATTTTAAGGCTATCACAAAGATTTTCAATAATGAGACCACATTTTTCGACAATATTTGAAGGTGCGCTTTACTTTGATTGTTTAGAGCCACAACTTTATACAGACCGCACCTTTTAAACAATATTAAATGCATTAAAAGTGAAAGATGAAAGGGTCAACCAAAGGTGGATCCCGATATCCCTTTAATACATTCAAAGGTTTCTTTTATTAACTTTATTAGCAACTGATAGGAAAAAGGAATATTTATTTTATAGTTATCGTCTATCCTTATCAGGTACCATACAAACTGGAACGATCTTAGAAGGGATAAGACTTTATCTTCAAAAATAGGATGAAAGGGTCCACCAAAGGTGGATCCCCGATATCCCTTTGATACATTCGAAGGTTTCTTTTATTAACTTTATTAGCAATTGATAGGAAAAAGGAATATTTATTTTATAGTTATCGTCTATCTTTATGAGGTACCATACAAAATGGAACGATCTTAGAAAGGATAAGAGTTTATCTTCAAAAATTATTAAATGTCGAACACAATGGGAACAGTATAAGGAACTGTTGGCGTAAATCAGGGTAGAAGTCATAGATACATTCGTAGGATTAGAATATTGGAAGTAAAAGAAGCTATGAAGAGGATAAAGATAGGAAAGGCTTTAGGACTAGATTGTATTCCGATAGAGGTCTGGAAGTTCATAGGGGTGATTGGTATTGACTGGCTGACCAAGCTGCTCAACAAGGTATTGAGAGCAAAGAAAATGCCAAACAAATGGAGAAAAAGTATTGTGGTACTTATTTATAAGAACAAGTGAGACATACAGAACTGTGCGAACTATCAAGGGATCAACTTATGAGCCACACTATGAAGTTATAGGAAACATGAAACAAGTGTATCAAAAAACCCATTCGATTTTATGCCAGGGAGGATAACAACCGAGGTTAGTTTCTTACTTAGGCAATTGATTAAGAAGTTTACGGCGAAGGGAAAAGACCTCCACACGGTCTTTATTGATCTAAAAAAAGCTTATGACAGAATATCTAGATATTTGATTTGGTGGACGTTGGAAAAGAAAGGAGTCTCAAGGCACTACATCGACTTGGTGAGAGATATGTACAACACAGTGTAACTAGTGTACGAACAACTAGTGGAGCGACGAGTGAGTTTTCAATGACAATAGGTCTACATCAAGGATCAGCATTGAGCCCATACCTCTTCGTCTTAGTTATGATTGACTTAACTAGACACCTATAAGATGGGGTACCGTGGTGCATGTTGTTTGCGTGTGACATTGTTTTGATCGATGAAAACCGAAATGGCATCAGCACAAAGTTAGAACTTTGGAGGGACACTCTAGAATCTAAAAGTTTTAAAATTAACCTGACTAAGATACAATATATGGAATGTAAGTTTAGTAATAATAAGAGTATAGACAAGGAAGTATTTAAGAAGGCCAAGTATTACAACTCTTTGGTATCAAAAGGGTCACCCCTCCTACGGTCAAGGCCTTGATCTCTTACGACCTAGATTCATATTGGCCGAAGGCTGAAAGAATCTTATGGAAGGCTACCATAGCTGCAACCATATGGACAAACTGGGAGGAAAGGAATACCAGAATCTTTCAAGGAATAAAACTCCACACTTCAGCACTTCTACATAAGGTAATCTCTTTGGCCTAAGGTTTTCTTGGGCATACCAGGGAGCTCCTTCCTCAGTCAATGGAAAAATATCCTTCATCACCAACAGCGGCAGGCTTCAAGACCCAACAACTGGCAACCACCACCAGAAGGCAGCATCAACCTGAATTTTGGTGGCTGCTCCTTTGGGAATTATGGCCCGGAAGGGGCTGAGGGGGCCTTCAGACACCATCATTGTAACGTACTCTTAACCTATTCTGAGCCTCTTGGTCTCAAGGAGTCCCACTACGCAGAAGCCTTGGCCCTCTTACTGGGTCTGAAAAGTTTCAACCATTCTTAGGGCTCACAGTTGATAGTGGAAGGAGACTCACAAAATGTTCTCTCCTGGGCAAGTACGGCGGCTTCTCCACCGTGGAACTTAACCTCAATTTTTGACGAAATTGATCACATTTGCAGGGCTATGGATGTCTCATAGAAGCATATATGGAGGATGTCCAACATGTTCGCAGATCTCTTGGCGAAAGAGGGAGCTAGAATCCAAGTAGAAGATCAAGCCAGGTCCGACTCCTTTTTTGCTCAGGACCACAGGCACATAGCATAAACACTTTGAATTTGGGCACCTTCCAGCCCTACTTTATGTTTTGAAAGCTACATGTAAATCTTTGTAATCGGGCGGTTCCTATATGTCCCTTTTTTGTATATGACAGGCTAACGCATTTTTTATCGAGTCAGCCCAAGTGGGCAACATCGGACTCTCATATCCATGTAAACATCTCTTCTCAGTAGTACAATGTTAACCTCCTCTCAAAAAAAACAAAAGTTTAAGGCCAAATAATACCAAAAAGAGAGCACTTTCAATATCTTGGGGTTGATAATCCAAGAAAATAGAGAGATTGAGAAAGATATAGCATATCGAATTAGCACTAGGTGAGCGAAATGGAAACCGGAGTTTAATGTGATCAACGCATACCAATGAAGCTAAAGAGCATATCAATAGGACAACTGTGAGACCATCTTTACTTAATGGGGACGGAATGTTGGGCGGTCCAAAAACAACATACCCATAGAAAAAGTATAGCTGAGTTGAGGATGCTGCTATGGATGAATGGAAAGACAAGTTCGAAATGAATACATTCAGGAGAATTTAAGAGTGGCACCAATAGGCGATAAGATGAGAAAAAGTAGACCTAGGTGAGCTTGCCATGTGTGGCGCAAACCCCAATTAGTTGAGAAAAGGCTTCAATGATGATGAAATATAAATAAACGCAGCACAAGTGAAACATACAAGTATTAATCAAGATAAGGACAATTTTTTTAATCAGTAAAAAAAAATTTTCATTAGGACAAGTTCCACAATCAAGTTTTAAATTATCCAACAAAAGGGAAAAGGAGCCAAGTTTTACATAGGCCAACCAAATTGACGAAGACACAAAAACAAAGAAATTTATCTTGGAAATATCTTAACAAATATAAACATTATCTAGCTTGCAAAATTCCAATATTGTATGGTCGAAAATGAAAATCCAACAAAGATAGATTTTGCGATGGACCTCTCCGCATGGGATCTTGGTATTCTGCCTCACAAGGGCCCCAGCAGCAACCATGCCATGTTTCTCCACAACCACCCCATCAAGAAGCGTAGCACCCATACCTACAAAAGCCTCATCCTCGACAGTGCACCCATGCAAGACTGCACTGTGGCCTGTCAAAATCATTAAGATTGTGTAAAAAATTAGCACAAGGTCAATAACAAGTACATACAACATTAATATAGTTTCCTATAATAAATTATATAAGAATGATAGTCAGAATCTACAGCCGTTAAAAACCACCAGGTTGTGGGCTCCAAGCACAAAGAAATTCCCAAGCAAGAACCGCATGGCCCTGAACCTGGACCCATCTAGTTCAACTACCTTGACTCTAAGGTAAAAACTAACCAGTCCCTTTTGATTGAATAATTCTTTTAAATATTTCTTGAACAATAATTCTCAGCAATTTAAAAATTGGCAAGTTGACCCAGGATTCACCCATGTCAACTAGCTTCCGGACCTTGGCGAGTCCCATGTAAATACAACGGGACTCACCTGAGTTTGACGCTTCTTGGTCATTCTAATGCAATTTCACAATAGACTTGGCAAAGTCTTATTGGGACAAGGGCAAGGCGACCCACCTGACAGACTCGGGACCGAGAGAGCCCTGACCCGAGTCCGGGGTTTAAAACACGGATTAACCTTTCCATTAAATTTTTTTTCAAAATGTACATTTATGGGATGTGCCATCAAAGGGTTGCTAAAACTAAGGACAGTACAGTTCACCAAACCAAAATGGCTTACTGCCCTGGTTTTTTGAAAGAAAATGGGAAGAAAAGGTTCCCAGCAATGGTTTGGGGCAGCCTACACAAACTTGGTGAATCTGACTTGGATTAGTCTAATCGGAACCAGCACCATGAGATTCCAAATGACCCCAACTTGTTGGGTTTGGGGCAGCCTATACAAACTTGGTAAGTTCGACTTGGACAATTCATTTGGAACCAGCACCATGAGGTTCCAAATGACCCCAACACCTGCAACTCAAGTCTTGACCCAGCCGTGCCCAAGTCACTCGAGTCTTCACCAAGTCTGTCCAGGTCTTTGAGAAAAACAATGATTTCTAGTCCAAGTCTTGACCAGTCTGACCAGGACTCAGTGAGCCACTTGGATCAAGTCCTGCCAATTCCATACCCAGTTCCAAGTTTTAAAACACTGGCAAGGGGCAGATATCTTGTTTGGGGTATGTGTCTCTATACAGTGTGGTAATTGCGGTTTGTAATCAAAATTGAGGGGCGAGTAACACCTTTATTTGAGTGTCCATCAGAAATAGCCAAAGAGAAATTTTGTGGTGTGGTAGTCCACATTATATTTTTCATTTGATTTTGTAGCATGGCTAAAGAGAAGTTCTGTAGATCTTTGCATGCCATAGCCAATAAGATGGCTAAAAAGATGATGCAATGAATCAAATCTCCATTTGTGTGGCCTTCCATTGAAAGAATGGGCAATTTCTTTCCAACTAAATACCCCTGATGGTGGCTTGGACCATTAAGCACCAAGGGATTCTCCCTATGCAAGGGATTGGGGAACTAAAACATGTTGATCGTTGAAAATAGGTTGGCTACAGATCTGGATGGACCCAAATTAAATTAAATAGGACTAGGAAGAAGGACCAGATGGCTCTGCGAAATAGGAAGGGATGGTCTATGGATTTTCCTCGTCTAGGCAAATTATAAATTGCTTCAGGAGTTGTCCAGGGTTGAAGCATTCTTTTACATGGCTGGCAATTTAAACACCTGCAATTTTGTGGGGCAGGTATGGTCCAGGCAAGGCAGCATTTTCTATAGGTAAACCTGATGTGTAGACTGCATTGTAGAAGGATAAAACCGAAAAAGTGCCTTTGCAGTTTGGGCACAAGAATGGTCTGTCTCTGCCCTGAAGTCGAATGAAGCGTGGCTTGAGAATTTGGGCAAGTTAATTTTCACGGTCTCCTTATCATTGAGGTTATGTCCGCACTTTGGCATAACACTGGCTGGCCTGCCAAAGGGTATAGGCTGGGGAAGGCTGCCTCCAGGGTAAAATTACCAAACCATAGGTCCTCCATTGCTGAGATGTCCCCCATTTCAGAGAAAATTGAATGTGTAGCAAAAATATTGCTTTATGGAGAGGATCCCTTTCCATGTCCTTGAAAAGCCTGGTTCAAAGAGCTTTGTGTTAAGGCTAGTGTTTGTTGGTAGCAATCCATGGAGTCTGAGCCAGGAGTCTGAGCCAGATTTTTGCTTGATGACTAGATGGAAGAGATGATCTAAGTGGACAGTAAAATGCCACCACCATGCCCACTTTGACCTTTCCAATACCCAGCCCTCCAGCCCTCTTGGTTGACAAACTTTGTCCCTACCCACCAGATGATTTCTTCTTGTTATCTTCCCCACTCCATAGGAAATTTGGGATCATCTTTCTATCTTTTCGACAATGGTCGTGGGAAACCAGAACATGGATATTTGGTACATGGCAATATTTGCTAAGGTGTCTTTGATCAGGGATATTTCCTGCCTCCCAAAGACAGGAATCTAAATTTCCAGGAGGCAAGTCTTCTTTCAAGTTTTTCCACTATCCCACATTGTGATTTGAGTAGCTGCCTATTCACAGCAGAGGCACTAGGTGCCACAGACAAAGCAATGAGCCAAATTTGACAGCTTTAGCACTGGGTACACAATCCCCATGAGTCTTGTATTTACCATGTTCATCCAGAGGCGCACCTTATGAATTGCCAGAGATAGTTGACCTATTTTGGTGTAATATAAAAGAACATCAAAGTGCTGTCTCCATATAAAAGATGTGATATTACTGGTCCATTATTTAATGTCAAAGCCTTCTAGAATGCTTCGATTGCATAGGCGTCCGGTTGATCAACAGAAGGTGTCTGCCATGATCACAAACTGGTAAAATTTAAGGGGATCACCTTGTCATAGACCTCAGGTCGAGGGGAAGAAAACATATAGACTGCCATTTATAAGGATAAAAAATTGGGCCATAGAGATGCACCCTGCAAACCACGCCCTCCATCTAGTGCCAAAACCAGGCGCATTATATTGAACTAATTTAGTTATTACCTTGAGGATTCCCTCTTCATCATAGGGTCTCTACATCCAATTTGTACTCTCAGTGGAAATTTGGTGCAATTGAATGTTGTCAATCTCAGCTCTGGGCCTCTTATGTAGTGTGAAAGGCTTCTTGGAGAAGTTTGTTACCACTTATCGAATGCCTTCTCGACTATCATAAATCCTGCCTCTTACGTGTACAATTTGTTGCTTGTGGAAGAAACCCTGTATTCCTATCTCCTAACTTCACCCGTTTTATACATGAGCTTTGCTACCAAAATGCCTCCTATTGTTTGAGCATTTTTTAAAGTTTACATTAACTGTTGTCCTTGTAATACATTCCTCATCAACCAGGAGTCTCTGTTTTCGAGAGCATCGAGCTTGTCAAACTCTACTATAGTATACTCTCTGTTCTGCTAAAGGTTGCTGAAATGTTCTTGATGTCAAATTTTGAGCTCACTTGAGGAGTTGCATCTTTCTTATACAGTCTGAAGCCAGCTCAACCTCCATGCAAAGGAAGTCCACCAGTCACGGATCAGTTTTTCAAGTTCTTTATCTTTGTACCACATCATTTAGAATTGGCAAGGATGAGGACCATGGGAGGAAGGGGTGTTGTTGAGGAAGTGATGTTTGAGGAAGGTAGGGCAGTGATCTGGTACTGATTTGGTATAGATTTTGTGTGTAGTCCAAGGTAAAAGGCATCCCATTCTGGATTGACCGGGATGCACTCTAGTTTGGTAAGGGTGGGATTTTCCCTGTGGTTTAACCAAGGGATATGCCTTGTTGAATGGAATATCTATGAGTTGTGTCTAAGTACGAATTCAGAGAAACTCTTCATGCTCTTTGCTATGTGAACCCACCTATTTTTCTCAAATGACCATCTGTCCTCATTAAAATTGCTGCCAAGACGCCATGGCAGTCGCTTGAGTATTGAATATTATCCAAATCTAGCATTGTTTTCCAAGCTGCCAGCCTCCTACCCCACAGTGATCTGATGTTCATCAGAGTTTGGGCCTCCATTTCTGTTTTGATGATGGCCAAGACAGAAATATAGTATTCTTTGTCATCCCCATGCCCTGGACAACGGATAAAATTTAAGGTGGACAGATGGCTGTGATTTTGTGGTTCGGATAAAATTTAAGGTGGACAGCTTCTTGCGGGCCGCCCATGCCCTGGATATTTCATACAAGGATATGCATTTGGTGATTTGGGAGTTTTGATGATGCAGTGATGCACGTCTTTGATTGTCTATTTGATGGGAAAAATGTTATGGGTTCGTAATTTATATGCGTTGATGTGCTAATTAATTAGTTTCATTTGATTTTATTAGGTTCATACAAAGAAAAAAACGAGGTTGAATCAAAGAGGCTCAATGACCTAGTCTATGTCGAGTATAATCAATACTTGAAGGAGAAGTTTGCTAAGAGAGATAAGAGAGACCCCCTCAGATCAAAAAATATGGATAATGCTATGAAGTGGTAAGTTGATGAAGATGAGGTCGAGAGGCATGAAGTATTGACATGGCATATGTTCATGGAGGCCTCAGGGACAACAACTGACCTTCCTAGGGCCACTAGATCTTCTTTCTAAAGGATGAGGGTGGAGGAAGAAGCAAAGGCAGATTCAGAAGAGAGAAGAGCACGACTATAATGTTGAGAAGGGAGATGATTCCGATGATGATGGCCTCAACTTCGATGCATATGATGCAGCTGCAGCAACCCTGCTTTTTTTTATGATGAGTGATTATTGAAGACTCTCTTGAGTATTCAAGTCTATATTTCTTTCATTTTTCTTTTTCTCCTCTTGGTTGTGTATTGTGGTTTATAAACTTTTAAGTTTTAACTGTGTAGACTATAGATATGGACTTATGGAGCATGGAGGAGTGTAAGAAGACTTGTGGACTATAGACATTTGATGTGCCCCCTAACTCTTATGTGTTATTTCTTATTGTCTTTTATTTTCTTGATGATGAATCGATGTCTTGCTAAGTTGCTATCTTGGATTGTGGACTAAACTATGTCTCAATAAGTATTTTTTAATATGTCTCAATTTGATATTCATGGAATTATGGACCAAAATATGTATCAATATGTATTTTTTAATTTTTTACACAATAATTGACCTTAAAACAAATTTTTATTCTAATGAGCACCCACCTAGGCGCTGAGCAGCCTAAACCCTCTGGCCACCTAGGCGCTGCCCAACGTTTTTTGGAACATTGACGACTTCCCAAGCCTATGGGAAAGGATACAGGGGTCAACTAAAGCCTTTTTTGGCCCAGAAAGACCATTCTTAATTGTGAATAGGCAAGAGCGTTGGTGTTGAATTCAAATGGCTTACCTTGAGGCCTCTGGTTCAGGGGGTGGGAGCAAATGGACGTTATGGGGATGATGGGAGAAGATGTCATAAATAGATTGGATTGAAGCAGTTGAAGATGGTCTTTGGATGCCCTTGTTGAATAGACACAAAGGTCCAGATATTGGTATTCTTTGTTCTTCAGTTATATAAATGATTTATTTGTCTTTCCGAGTGGAGGTGCACTAGGGGATTGATGGAGTAATTTGGGATCACATTTGGGTATGATTTAAGGCTTTCAGGATTCTTTGGTTGTGGTTTTCGAAGGCGAGGGCAAACTGATTTGGTTGCAGAAGAGGCCGAATATTGTTTCTTGAAGAGGTTGGTTTTGTATTTTGAGTTGTTAGGGTCTGGGGAATGGATGTTTGTCTGTGTGTTTTAGTGTTTTCAAATATGGTTTTGGGTGTTTGTGTCGGAGGGTTGGACATAGTGTTCTGTGAGTAGGGCTGCATGAGTGTTATTAGTGTTTGATATATGGCTTTGGATTTTGAGTTATTCATGTTTTGAAATAAGGTTTTGGGTCGCATGTGGATAGAGGTGTGGACGTGCTAATAAGTGTGGTGCCAGCTGGGTTGGATTGTAGCCGATGGAAGTAGGCAAAGTCGAAGGATGACGACCAAGTACATTGTCAATGGTGTTAGTTTCAATGAGAGCACTTGATGGAGAAGCAAAGCTTCGGGGCTTTTTAAACTGTTAGAAAGGTGGTAGCTATCAATGGACAGTGACGGATTAGGTTGATGCGACAGGCGAAAGATTCCAAACTTTTTGAAATTTGAAAACGCTGGCTGTGGGAAATACTTCTGTGGTAATGTGGATGTCGCTTCATTGACTTTTTTTGTTCGAATGTAATGCACTTGTGAACCCTGTTAAATGCTGTTTTCTCTCTCCTATTTTTTTATCTATTGATTGTTCTTTTCTCTCTCCTGTTTTGATGAAATGTTTGTCGCCTTGGGTTTGATGGTCTTCACCGGTTTCGGATCTGATTTTTGTTTCCTAACAAATTCTGGCTTGTTGCAAGCCTCCAAAATTGTTTTCTGACAGAATGTTTGTGGTTGGTGACGGTTTCATTTGTAAGAGGTTTGGGTTGGGGAAGGGAGGTACGGTTGCTGCCATGGCATTGGCAATCTTTATTTGCTATATATAATCCTCTCTAGCCATGACTAAGGTTTTACCCTTGACCTAGTGCAATCATTTCTGTTTTTCCTTTTCTTTTTTGTTAGACACTTGGACCTTTTTTTATCAGTAGCAAACTTGATAGTTTGATGGTTAAAAAGAAAAAGAAAGAAAGAAAGAAAAGAAAAAAAGACAAAGTTTCGAACATTAGGAGAAAAATCAACTAGATATGACCAGCCAGTTTAGTCTAGACTCTATACTTAATCCTGTTGACATGGAACCAGTTGGTCTTTAATTGTTCCCAGTCCAGCCAAAACAGGACTAAATAGCAAATAGGCCAGCTGGAGACAGAACAATGGGATCAGCCTATTTGTAGGCCCATAAGGGTGTCAACCTGGTTTGGGATCCTAAACTGACCCAACATGTCGGTTCCAGGTCTAGCAAGTACGGACCTGATTGGGTCGGGTTCACTTCTGAGTGTGTAGAAAAAAGGCTTCAGTCAACCCAGTGCCCTGCAGGATCAACTTGACCATATCTATCTCTGGGTTTGGACCCATAGCCTGGAACTGGGGGATCAGGTCTAGGTCTAGGTTTAGACCCATCACCTGGAACTGGTGAGTCAGGTCTGGGTCCAACTGCCACTGGACCCAGGTCCTAACCAAGAGTCTAGATCTTAGGTGGAATTACCCAACCTGGACCCGGCCCATTTACATCCTTCTTGTTGGTCAGGGTTCAAGTATACAAGAAAATATTAAATGCAATGATTGACATTCTCCATGAAATTTAGGAAGCACATGGAATCCTATAAAGATTGAATTATAAAATGTTAAGATCCACTTGAAAGGAGTGGTTCTTCATATCATTAAACCCCTATTAACCTTTTATAGCCAGATTGGAGAGGGTTATTCAACCTTCTAAAAGCTAAGAACCATAAAAAAAAAACTTCAAGAGAAGCAGAAATACAAGTCATGCCATAGTTTCATATAAGTCATGCAAATGTTTAGAGCTTCAACCAATTCACAAACAGAGATCAACAGAAGCATATTTCTTTCAAGCCAGAAGCTATTTCCGTGAAGCATAATGCAACATACCAACTGTAACATTGTCCCCAATTATGGTTGGAAGGACCTTCCCACTTAGATTAGATTTTGCCACATGCACAAGGGAATTGTCCTGTATGTTCGTCCCGGTACCAACACTAATGCTGTTCACATCCCCTGAGCCCGCAAACACATTCAAGATTAGACATTAAAAGTTAAAAAACTGTAAATAGCATGGGTGCAGCATATCAAACTCTGGAACTAAGTAGAAAGAGACACCTATATGTATTCTTAATAAATTAACTGAAGAAAATGAAAATAAACAGAAGCATAGAAGTAAATATGAAACCCAATCCTGTAGAAGGGTAAATTCTCCAAGCCACTAACTCGCAATTCCGAATCAAGATATAAACCATGCTATTAGTAAATCATATTAGATATTTAGAATTATGCAATTCCTTGACATAAATGAAATGTTGCTCCTGATTTAAAAAGAAAAAAAGGCTTCTATAGCAAAGTTTTTTTCTTTTAAAGAAATGTTGACCATTGTATTAATGGAGTAAATAACAGCCAGCAATATGCTGTTTTGTATAAAATTGTAGTGTAGTCTTCTGCTTAAAAACAAGCCTGCCTTTTACAAGAAGGGAAGGATATACATGTCTAGAAAGAAAGCATGAGAGATGAAAGAGGTGGATAGCAGAATAGGGAGGAGGGTAAGACACATAGTTGCTAGAAGCAGGAGCAGGAAGGGGCGCAGAAGCGAGGGATTGTCAGTAGCAACAAGCTCGCTAATTTGGAAGGGTCATAGAAGGGCTCTTACTAAAGACAAAAAAAGTATGGAATTTCTCAAATACACAATTTTTTAAATTACATTTATATATACAATAAACATATTAGAAATATATTTATTTAACTTACAAATATTTCACTGACAATTATATTTTTTCAAGTGAATTTTAAAACTCATAATTATTTAGTCGTCTTATAATATAAAGTCTTGCATATTAATATACGAAAACTATTTATTTGATTAATATAATGTAAATTAGTAAAAGAAATTAATAAGTTTCAGTCATCATAAGTTTTGCCCTCCTGTTTCTATACCGCTTCATTATAAATTAAGAACAAGACTCAAACTAAAAAATAGGAAAAATATGGAGAGTGATAAGAGAGATAAATTTTCGTCTTACGATGCTAAACTTGGACCTACCATGCCTTCTTTAATGCAATTATCAAACCAATGCATTTAGCACTATCTTTTTTAAAAAAAATAATAATCAAGAGTTAAGCACCCTATCCCTTTAAAACATAAAATCATATATAAAGGGATTTCATTAGTATTTCTTTCTTTGTTTCTTTTTTTTAATTGACATGCATTTAAACATATAATCATATATAAAGGGATTAAAGCATCTCTTGTCCTTTGAAAAATATATAGACATGATTTTGCAACAAAATAATTCTCTTCTTGACTGATATGCATTTAAGACTTGGTTGTTTATAAAAGATATACATAAGTTCATATTATACTGACCAATCCCTTAGGGATTAGGATTGTGACCCCCCCATAAGGGAGCCGGAACCACCCAAGATCATTATCTTTGTTCCTATCAGACTAAGGGCAGGCTGCAGCAGGAGCTTAGGAGAAGCCTATTATTTTCCTTTCTTCCATAATTGGCAGGGGTTAAAGCTTCAGAAGGGGTTTGCTTTCCCAGAGGGAGAGGAGTAGATTAGATGATTTATATGGGGGCTTTATTGTGGAGAAGAGCAAGTCTTACATTTCCTGAGTTGTACAAGGTAGCAACAGACATGAGGCACATGTATTAGATTGTTTTACTGGAAAGGGGGTTAAGGTACCGCAGTGTCCCCTTAGATAATGAGGCTGCCAAGTTATCGACTATGGTGGGGCTGCCAAGGCAATTTTTGTCAAAGAATGATGTGGATCTTTTGTTTTTTGTAACTAGGAGTTGCAGGGGGATTTTTCTGCCAGTGGCTCCATTAGAAGGCGACAACATCTGGGGGTCCTCGACCAGAAGCTTTCACTTTCCTTAATTATTAGGAGATGCGCAGAAAGGCAGAGGAGTTTGCAGTTTGCCTTAGGATGTTCTTTATTGACTTAGGATGTTCTTTATCAATCTCCTAATCATCTCGTGGGTCCTCTAGAGCATAGTTGTTGGGAGCAAGAGCAGGTGCGAGTGCAGGAACCTGGGATCGATCACTGGCTTAAGCTCCCTACCCTTGGAGCACTTGGAAGCGCAATTCACAGAGCTACCTGAGAGCAATCTCCTATATATGCACTACAAGTATATGGAAGCGCAGGGGGAACACCCCATATATATTTGTATATGAATATGTGTGTGTTTATATATGTATACAAAT